ATGCTGGCCTTGTAATTGCACTTTGAAGGAATACAAACCACTTAAGAGTTCAACATGGGCGTCTTGTAGCAGCAGGTCATTGATTTGCTGTCAGAAGACAATGAAGGCCAAGGTTATTGTCACAAAATTACACTGTAAGCTAGCATACATCTTTTTCACCTTTACTTCTTCCTTGTTTTATTTTATTTTGTTTTTAATTTGCCTTTCCCTCTGGATCAGATGCTATTTTAAACTGGCATTCTCCAATCTAGAAGTTTACTCATAAGTAATTGAGTTTGGTGGACTTATTTAAGTAGATCTAGCATGGCAGTAGTGTGACCTGGTCTGCCACCATGTAAGATTCCACAGTTTCCGTCTGCATCTTGGTGTCAATCTGCTCTTGTAATATTAGTTGTTGTGTTGAACTCTCCCTAAGCCTATGAAACCAGAATGGCAATAATATTTATGGCAATATGTGCTATATCTGGTATTCTAATGAGAATGTGTTGAAGTAGTATATATGAGTTTAACATGGCTCTATCCCTTGACCTGCATGGTGATTATGATGCTTTATTAAATTTGTATACTGCGCTTCAACTGAAGATCTCAGGGCAGTTCACAGCATAAAATACAGAATAAAACAACAAAGTACTTAATAAAGACAAGAACAAAAACAAAATAAACCAATAACCCCTCCTTCCACAAACACATGTTAAAGTACACAGACTGTTAATCAGCCAAAGACCCAGTTGTAAAAGAACATTTTCGCCTGGTGCGTAAAGAAGTATAATGAAGGTGCCAGATGAACCTCTCTGGGGAGAACATTCACAAACAGGGAGTCACTGCAGAAAAGTCCATGTTGCCACCCTCCAGACCTCTTGTGGAGGAAGTATGCAAATGGTGATGATCACAGAGCTCATATGGGAAGAGGTGGTCCTTGAGGTACTGCAGTCCTGAGCAGTTTAAGGCTTTATAGATTAAAACCAGCACTTGGAATTGGAAACCCTATAGCTACTGCAGCCTTCAAGAAGGTTAGTTACACAAATCATCAGAAAACCCACCCACCATGACCTTCATGTAATTCAGCAACTATGGGCATCTCGCCCTTACTTACTTTGTGCCTCACCTTAATGTAATTTACTTGTCATTTTTTCAAACAGCTTCCGATAAATTGACAGATAAAATATTATGTTTGTGAGGGGTGGTGTGTGTGCAATCAACCACGTTTGAAACAGAGCAGGCAGGAAGATTCCATGAGCTGACTCAAGGGCTCAGTCAGAGGAGAAAGAATGTTATTCTAGGGTGGAACACAAATTGATAATAGGAACAAAATTGCCACATCATTTCCCAAGAATAATCCCATTAACTGGAGCAGAATCTACTTCTTTCTAAATTGATTTTGGCATTATTATACTCCATCCACTCAACATTATTCCAGAAGTCTGGTACCCTACACCATAATGGGAAGCATGGGGGTGAGGAAATACACTGCTGTGTACCATACTTCTTCTTTTGTGTATTCTTAACTTTTAGTGAGGTGTAGTATTGTGGATGTATCAAAACCTTCACAGCTTCGGTGACTCTGGAATCGTCTAACAAGCATTTTCTTCCATTATAAACTCACAAGGCTTACAAATCGTGTGTGTTTGAAATTCCATCAGGCTGAAGGTGGAGGCACAAATGTTGCTTTGCAAATGGGTTTACGGAGAATAGCATACATCAATTAACCTATTTTAAATTGTGAGGAATTGGAAATGTTCGTCATTTTCTTTGCCCTGTACTAAACTTTTAATCTAAGCTCATGAGAGGATAAAAAAGCTCTAAACAACTGACTTGGAAAGCAAAGAGAAGAGAAGTTCTCTCAGATGTATGATTTTAAAAGCTTGTGTTACATATCTAGAAAGCACCAGTCCTTTCCTTTTTATACCCTTTTATAATGGGAAAACACACAGGATGCTCAAGGAAATGAAATTGACAGGTGCATTTCAAACCAAGTAAATGAACCGTTTCTTCCCAGAGCAATAAACTAGCTAGTAATTTTGATTGGCACAAGAGATTATCAAGGCAAATATGCAATCCAGTTTCTTCATTTAAAAAGAAATGATAATCTCCACAAACATTGGAAGTATAGATTCTTTCCCCCTCCAGTGCCTGTGAAATGTATTTTTCTGCGATATGTTGAGTTACTGGCCTCAATGTAGACAATGCGAAACTGGGCTTACTGGGTTTCCTAGCTCAAAAGAAAATTGCACTACGAATGATAGCAAAAGGCCAAATGTCAGGGAAGTCAAACATAGCAACTGCTTTCTCTTAAAACTCCTGCCAGAATACTGCAATTCTCAGCAGCACCCTGGAATACTGAGAACAATGGGAACTACATTCCCCATGATTCTCAGCATTCTTGGATGGTGCTGTCATCATGTGCATCTGTCTCCAGGGCTGTGGGCTCATTTCTCTAACCTGATGCCATGGAAGAGCCTGATGCCTCGAACCCTTGGCAAATAGTTCAGGCCTGGAGACATCAGGGCTGTAAAGATTAATTTCAAAATTAAACCAGAATGGGTATGGAAGGACACATAAAATACAATGTCTGAATTTTCCCACCTTACCAGCTCAATAGTAAACTACAACAATAATATCTGAGCTCAGATGGATGTAGGAAGAATATAAAAGAAATTTAAATAACATTAAAATAAATGACCCCATCCTATCTGATCCTCCAAATGTTTGCTCGCATTGAATGGCTTTATTTTGCACAGGATATGGTTCTGGGTAGCATCAATGAGAAGGAAGTTACTTAACTGAAGAGCAGCGTTTTAATGTACCTTTTTACATATCCACATGGTGTTCTTACCTTGCTTAAGGTTCAAGCTAGTGCATGCCACCTCTGAACCGACATGTCTACAAATGTAAAGAACCTTGTATTGTCACAAGTTGGTAAGGTTATAGGTACATTTTCCCTTGGCATGAGATCCAGAGAAATTAGAGATGGCAGCCTAGCTAGGCCTTGTGCCAAGTGAGAACCAGGATGGTGGTTGGACTTTGGTTGGTGACAGGAACCCTTAATAGAATTGGTTCCATGTAACAGCCTTACTCAATTGTCCTTGGGGGCCAGTCATGCTTGTGCTCCTCTAAATGGATTAAGCACCTCCTGGATTGAGGTTCTAGCCTTCCTGGAGCTCATCTTGGTAACTCATTTAGTATGTTGACTTAATCGAGGTGCTAAAAGTATTTTCTGGTTTGTTTGCTGTTTCCAATAGGAGACATGAAGTTAAACGGAACCAAACCTTAGCACATTTCCCCTCAAATATCTTCCAAAATATTTACATTGTACACTTTTCCTCAGGAAGGTGGTCCGGCAAATGTGCTTACACAGAAGATGCTCCAATAATTTAACAGATTTATTACAGAAAATGATACTAAACAGCTATTTTATATGTCAGCTTTAAAGCTTGTGAAAAGCAACTAAACACATGCATAAGACCAGTACATAAATCAGCCCAATAAAACAGCTTTGTAAATATTTATGCACTCAGTGCTCTCAGTTTCACGCTCGCTTCCTTTACCTCCACCTCTTAAATTTCCTCTCTCTTTAGTTTATGGCTGTGAGTGGTTTTGGTTGTCTGCCTGGCATTGCTTAATTACTTACTGCTTCCTCTGGTATCATGTACCATAATCCTAAATCTTCACAAACTCTGATTACCTTAGGAATTGGATGCAGTTATTCCATTAAGTCTAAATGGAACCCTTGTGGGAGTAAAAGGGGACTCTACAGGGTGAATTTACTGCCTCAGTGGTAGTAACCCATTGGAGGTAGCGGCCAGGCAAAAGTGGGCAAAGGGCCAATCCCCGCTGCTAGTGAAAGAGCCCACAGTTCTGTGCTGATTTCTTCCTCTTCCCCACATTAGCTCTGGTGCCTTCTTGCTCAGGCAGCTGGAGGGCAGTTCACTCAGTCAGCCTTTCCGTTTCTTTGAGGCATTGGAATGCTAATGGAATTGAGATATTGAATGGGGGTGTACAGAAATGGGGAACCTCCGGGCCTTGTTGCACCACATCTTATTATCCATGGCGACTGGCCATGTTGGCTGTGGCTGATGGAAGCTGGAACGAAGGGCAGGCAGGGCACAGTCCTGTTCTCCATCAGTGAACACATGGCACAATGATAGGACAGTCCACTTTGCACCTCAGTATAAAAGGCTAGTTTTAGAAACATAGGAAGCTGCCATTCACTGAGTCAGACCATTGGTCCATCTAAGCCAGTGTTGTCTCCACTGACCGGCAGCAGCTACAAGATTCGAGACTGGGTTCTTTCCCAGTTCTACCTGGCAATGCCAGTGATTGAACCTGGAACCTTCTGTATGCAAAGCAGATACTTTATCTCTTTAAATTTCTTGATGTGTTAGTACTTGGTTCCTCAACACATTATGATTTGTGACTGGATATGTGAACTGAATCTACTGCAGAGTAATTTTGTTCATTCATTAATCACCCCCTTCTACCTTTCCATCCAGTGGGCCCACAAGATGGTATACAATTTGTGTATGCAGTGATTGCTCTATGGTGGGTCACTGGCGCATGCAAGTCAGTACTTAATGTTGCAGTTGCCAGGTGATGGCCACACATGTGCAGACCAGCCCAAAGTGACGAGAGGTCTCCCATATGATAAAATTGCCAAGTGTCACACCATGCGAAAGCTAGAAAGCAAGGATCTCTGAAAAAGCTGTTGACATGATCTTACCATGTTGCATGTGTTTCACTCATTGGAGCATTTTTACTAGTAAATATAGAGGGGAAACCACCTCATGGTGAGTACTTAACCGAAAAGGTAGATCAACCCCTGGGCCATTTGCAAATGGTTACTATTTAGTTTCATAGAAAAGGGTGGGTGCCGTTTCTTGTGGGGAAATGGGGTGCTCCCTCCAATGACTTAATCTGGCACATCCTGGTTGGACCCTATTTTATTATCACCCTGTGCTGGAAAGACGCTGCTGGACTATTAATCTAACTATGCTATGAAAAGTTCTGGAGCTTTGCCATAATGGGAAAATTAACATGCTATCTAAGAACTCTGAGAGATAATAAAACTACAGACTACACAAACTGGCAAGATTTTATTTCGTTTATTGATAATAATGATGCATACATACAGGTGCCAGACGAACACACCTGTTTCTTCTTTTAGGAGCCAGTGGAAAAAGCAGCTGCTTTCAAACCAACAACATGCTGACCTCTTACAAAGCAAAGTGATAGTTTTCCCTTTAACTATCTAACCCAGCTCACCTCCCTATATTTTCCAACATATCCTCTTGCTTATTCAACTTTTTGCTATTGTGGGCTCCTTGGGGAGGAAGGTTGGTACATAATTTCAATAAATAAATAATATGCAGATGGCTGTACTGATCCTACGTTATTTATGTTTCGTATTACGTTATGTGTTCGTTTCTTTGAGATATATAATTTTCAAAATTAGCACACCCCCAAAGAAAAGAAAAAGAAAGAAAAGCCCTGGTGCCATTTGGGGTTTGTTTCTAAGTTTCTTCCTGCTGCTGTAGCTACACTACAAGATTATTTTTGTAAATAGCATGAAGAACTGCCAGCAAGAATTGATAAATGTTTGATCAAATGGGTTGTTTTCCTTTGCTGAATGACACTGATCCTGAATAGTTTACACCACTGTACAAATCTTGCAGCTGTAGAGTGATTGCCTTTAAAACACTGACATTTCCAGTACATAATATTGCAAGTAATTAGTGACACCAGGGCATTACATGTGTTCCTTGTGCTACAAACAAGCAGCCTTACTCTGTCTTCATCTCTGTGTGTGAATGTAAACCAGGAATAATGGCAGTGCAGTTAATAGGGAGTACTGGTCCCATCAGATTAGTGGGAAAGAAAGCATAAACCTTTATCAGGCTAGATCCATCCTGTATGCTAGTAAAGCAAAAGGTGCTCAGGTTTGCTTTGGAACGTGGCCCCAGAATGAAATCCCATAGTCAAGAGATGCTGACAGGCATGTAGGTCTATATAAAATGGCTTTTTCAGTTGCTGCTTTCTAAACATGTGTTGAGAACTATCCAGAAAATGAATAAAGGTGCCTATTTCACAGCAACACCGCAACTGCTACTACAATTGTTGACTATTTGTCTACTATCTTTACAGTGTTCATTATTTCAGGAATCCTCTCAATGCTCCTGTAAGGTTGGCCAGTATTAATGCTCCCAAGAAATAGTATATTTTCTGGAGCCAATTACTGAGTTTGTGGCTGAGGAAGGATTTGACCTGGGGATTTAACTGGCTCACATTCTTAGCCACTATGTTTTTGAGGATCAATTTGCTTGTGCTGGGCATTTTAGGTATTGCAAGCCCCTTGGCCATTTTTGCAGACACATATTGTATTTTATTGTGTGGCTAGGGAAATGGAAGCCCTCAGAATTGAAGTTGTGAATAAGTTTCACTGTTGTGTATTCTGCATCCTGCTGTCCCGCATGGACTCTTCCCCCAGGCTCTGTGAAGATTCGGAATACAGACCCTGTCTCCACATTGAAAAACCTCCCATGGAAATGAAACTATCTCAGCACTGCTGTGATAGAAAGCCTCTTTGTTTAACACGAAGCATAGAGAGAGCTATTGTGCTGCCGAACTGAGGTGTGCAAATTGCTCCCACTCCTGTCACTTTCTAACAGGATAATGTAAAAGTCATTCTGCAGGGACAGGAAAAATAATAATTTGTTAATTCCCCTCAGTATTCCACACTTCTTCGCCGTGTAGCTAATTTTCTCTGAATACCTTATTAACATTCACAATGGCTTTGCAGGCCCACCCTAATAGCTCTCCACTGAGGCAGGAACTGTGAAGGTGAGAGCTGACAAAGATGCTATGATGATTTTTCTCCCTTCCACGCCTCTAGGGTTTATTATTCTGGCTTCCATCCTTTGAGGGCCGTCCAGATGATGAGAGTGGCCAAACTCCAGTGCAGTCACGACTTGTTTCCTCAGGCCCTGGAAACCTTGAAGGAGGTTAGTTTTGCTCGTTCTGCTTCTACCCTTTCCCCTTTCCTTCGCTCTCTAACTGCTGCCATTTTCCTCACCCTCCCAGTTCACCCCCGCTGCTGAAATATTAACCACCAGTCGTTTTCCACCCACCCCACCTCCGCATTTCCTTTTATCCACACTGGTACCGTAGGCAATAGCTGCGCAGTGAGGTGATGGGTCATTGCTACTTACCTAGTTTCCAGGGGTGACTTCCTTTAATATCAGTTGTTGGTAATTACTGTTCAGTAGCTGGGGGGTATCATTAATCACCCCTAACCTTGAGTGGCAAGCAGCTATTAAGATGGACGAATGAAAGAGTATTTCAGTGCCTTAGTCTGCTTCTCATGCTCCCTTTAAAATATTGATTATGTTCTGCCTAGCTGCATGGGGAATACAGACTAAGGAGTAGGTGAAAACACATCTATGTGTCGGTAATCCTAGACAAGGAAGGGGTACTATATCGATCTGAAACTTTTAGATTAGGATTTTAAGATAAAAATGGAAGAGGGGGACCAAAATCTTAAATTGGTAGGCTGGCGTCAGTAGGAGTTCACATCTAAAATTTGATTTTTCACAAACGTCATGTTCAAATGCTGCCATTGACAATAACACCTGATTTTCAGCTGGCAGTCTGAGTTGGAAAGCAAATGCCCCATGAATTCTGACAAGTTTTTAATTAACAATGTCTTTTAAAAGTCACTGTGAGTGGAAGACAGTGGTGGCTGTACTGCATTTTATATTGTCAATTTGCCAGAGGGATTCTAATTGAATCAAGTGCAAAATGGATTTTAGGATAATTTTTGTTTTTAATGGGGGGTGTTATGATATTTGATTTTTAAAAAAGAAAGAAGAAACCTTAACAGACTTCCTTTTAGAATTGTTAATAGTTTGCAGGCTGATTCAGGATTAAAATCTGTCTCAAATGCACAAATGTTCATTATATTTGGAGTGGAACATTTAGTACTTCTGCTTTGTGGACATGGTATGTGCATTCTTGCATTGTGATCACTTCATATTTGTTAAATCTTTGACCCACCTCATTCTAAGAGGTAGCAACACTCTGTTATGCCCATTGAACAAAAGACCTTCCTATATATTAATACAATATAGTGAATTAAAATTATCACCTTAATCCTGAGCTTTAAAGGTAGCCCAAATAAGAATATTTACAGCACCTAGGGAAAAATATTACAGCTTTACTCTCTCTCCCTCCCTCCACACATTCTGTTAATAGTGTGCTATTCCACATGAGCTCAGTTCCATGCTACTCCTGTGCTTATTTCAGCCAGCAGCTGCCTTATTTGGAATTTCTCATCATGAGCTTGTGATAGAGTCACAAAGTGCAAGGTACATTAGGGTTACCAGACATCCCCGGTTCCCGGGGACAGTCCCTGGATTTGCAAATCTGTCCCTGGGAAACGTGGCAGCAGCAGCCTCAGCAGCCCGGAGCCAGCCTGTTAGCGCAGTTGGCTCTGGCTGGCTTCAAGAGCTGCTTGCTGCCGTGGCGCCCACCATTTTTCCTGTGTCACGGCAGCGAGCCTTCCCTGATCTGTCAAAACAAAGGGGGGAGGGGAAAGGAAATCAGGGAAGGTGGGCAGTGAACCATTGCCCAGTTTTTTTTAAAAAAAACTCTGTGCATTTATGTTTCACAGGGTGCAAAAGAAGGGCTTTGCACCTTTATGCATGTGTGCTTGGGCCCAGGGTCTTTTGCCTCACCATCCCCACTATTGACTCCCTGTTGCTACTTAGCTTCACCCACAAAAGAAAGGGTCCCCGGATTCCTTGCAAAAAAATCTGGTAACCATAAGGTACATGGTACATATTTGTGAATACACAGTATAGTATTCTGACAATTGCCTTGCTTATTGCACTTCACTAATTGTACCTTTTTAAACTTGTAAATGTATCCTAAGTACTAGTGTGACTTTCTTCGCTAAGGACTTAGATCAAATGAGGATTCTGAAATTCAGTTGAACCCGTGCAATACTTATGCATGATAATGGTTAGAACTTGAATTGTTGTTGGATTTTATGGTGTTCAGTTCTGTACTACATCACTGATCCAGTTGAACTCAAGACTGTGTACTTACAGAGTTGCAGGTCGCCTCTTATCTAGGCACTGACCAGGCCTCTCCTCCCTCCTTGCACTGTTTTGGAGATTCCCCTGACCCTTCCCCAAGCCATTTTCGTGGGGGGGAGTGAGTGGGGAACCCCCATTGCGCTAGCAGACATCCTTGCATGGGCTTTGACTGCTGGGTCCAGTTAATTGAAACCGGCTCGTTATTTAAATCGTGCACAAGAGAAATGGCATAGTCCTTCCTGAGCGGCACTGTTTCAGACTGCAGCTGGGAGATGTCAGAGATTGCAGTCGCATATAAGCTCCCTGCACATGGAAAGGGATCTAGTCTGCTGCCACTATACCCCGTGATACAGGAAGGTTGGTTCTGAGTGATTATAATAATATATCAACTTGTCAGCCGAAATATATATTCCATCTGTATCAATCCCCTGCTGGGAAAAGCTCAAAGGAACATGAGCAAAAAGCCCTTCTGCTCCAGAGTGATGCTGAACTCTTTCTGACTATATGTCATTTGAACTGGTTCTTTCCAGCTTGCCCTGTGCATTATTAACTGCATGTGTGATTAAAGTAAAATGAGTATGGCTTTCTAGGCGTTTGTCCTTCCTTTGCTGCCTCTAACAGGCATTCATTTTAATCAAGGGACAAAGGAGAAACAGAAATGATTTCCTCAATACTCTGTCCTTTTGCTTTGTAGAGCATCAGCATGATGGAGTTTGCTTCCTCCTTTCATCATGACTGAGCGGTACGGCAGCATATTTGCATACTGTTACATACGCTGATGTTAGGTACCCTGTCCAATCCCAATGCAAATTAGACACAAATGAATGTGCTGGGCTTTTATTTGCATTCAGAGACACATTCATACCAATTATCTAATGTGGCTTTATATTCTTGGGTAAAACAACTGTGTGGCTTCTGATACCGTGGCCTGTCATGTATTTGTGTGCACAGAACAGTAATAATAAATAATAATAAAACCAGTTCCTTAAATCATGAGAGAAGCCACTGGTCCTACGGTGCTCAACAGTCGCTATGATTGTTTTATCCTGTGGAGGAAACAGCTTTTGTGTAATGACTTCTGTATGTACACATTGTAATATTTAGCTTAGGCTGCAATCCAAACCTCTCTTTCCTGGGAGTAAGCCCCACTAAATTCAATATGACTTACTTCTGAGTAGACATGGTCAGGATTGCATGGTTAGTGTGCATGCATTTTCTGATCAACCCATACACATAGCCCAAACCAGGCGCATAGCTCCAGCTTCCACAGGCAGTTCCTTTGACAGCATTGCATGCTGATCAGCACACGATCTGGGCTACTCTTGCTATTTATCCCTCTCACTTTCCCTTTTATTCTTTGCATAGTTTTCCCATCCCTATCTTTCGGCTTAGATTTTTGTTTTCCTTCAGTTCCTTTGCACCTTATGGTGCCCCTGCTCTCTTCGCAAATGAGCTTCTCTGGAAGCAGGACCTGCTTATGGAAGGTGCCGAGGCGATGTTCTCCACAGCTCCTAGATCTTCATGACTTTGCTCCACTCTAGGCCTGTTGGCGTCAATGTTAATGACCAATCCTGTCATCCTGCACTGAATAGCTGCTGATAATGGGGCAAATCTCCTCTAGTGTGGCCACCTGTGTCTGTATTCCTTTTTGGACATCTGCAGATGAAGAGCGTTGCAAATGCGCAAAACAAAAGAAAAATTAAAAGAAAAAAGAAAAAGCAGAACTTTCCAGCCAGAGCAGTTGAGAGGCATGCAATAAAGAATGATGGATTACCTGTCTGTCTTTTCAGGCTTATGATATCATGAAAGTGACCCATGGGACAGAACACAGCCTAGTGCACGACTTGATGATGCTCAAGGAAGACTGTGAGGCTGGCCTGCCATTAGAATGAAGAAGACCTGCAAGAAGACATTGGAGAAAGAAAATGTCTCCTTACACAATCTATGTAGCTGTCAATATCTCATTAATCAGAGAACAGTTAGGAAAAGGTTCCAGTTGTTTTGGTGTGTAACCTGTATATTATTTCTTCTGCTAATTCTTCAAGGGACCTTTCACACCAGTTTCTTGATATTTCCACCAGAAGTATGCTGTCTGCAAAACAACGTGTTGACAAAGAAACTTGGACAGTTCTTGGTAAAAGTACAATATACTATTAATGACGTAGAAAATGATAATTTCTGGAAATGATTTTCTTCATTTATCATGGTAGCTAAGGTACTCTTTATATGTCATGGTAACCAATATTAAACAAAAATAAAATCTTATATCCAAAGTATTTGAATTCCATTTTTATTGCTGCTTTCTCTCCTGCATTGCATCACTTCTTTTCCTTTCACATGCTGTCATTTTGAGACATGGAATGATCCTATGGATGAATTTGTTTTACATCCTTTCCAGTTTTAGTTTGCCTAGAATATCCACCATTAAGTACCATTAATTTATTAACCGTGGAATTTGCATACTCAAGTTGAATCTGTTCTTCTAAAGCTGTAAATCGATTCAGCTCCTCCATACTGATTCCTTTGAGTTATACAGACTTAATATCATCTGAGCTTGATTGGTGCATGTCTTGGGATAGTTTTCTGCCTTTGTTGGGTTCAAGAGGGATGAGGTAGGTTTCATAAGAAGGAAGGAAATCATATACACACTGATTACTAGTGAGTAAACTCAACTGAACATAATTAGATTTTCTTCTGTCTTAACATGCATAGGATTGCAATGCCAGCCTTCTTTGTCATTCAAACACTGTGTTTAGCCCAGGAATGTGATTTCATGTACCCAGCATTTGGAAAAGTGGTTACCAGTTCTTACCATATGGGTTTTTTTTAAAATCTGCATGCATTCATATCTTCCTTTGCAACCAAGAAACAAGGAAATGCCTTATTCCAATTCAGACTGTTGGTCAATCTAGCAATCTGACTGGCAGCAGATCTCCTGGGTGTTGGGCTAATAGACCCTGCTAAAAGGTTCTTGAAGCTTGGACTCTGTACAGGGCTAGAAATGGAATCTTACAATTCCCAAAATCTGCAGTGGCTACTAGTCAATTCACTAATAATAAAAATACAGCACGTTGTTTCTGATAGCAGCTACAGTGGTACCCCGGGTTAAGTACTTAATTCGTTCTGGAGGTCCGTACTTAACCTGAAACTGTTCTTAACCTGAAGCACCACTTTAGCTAATGGGGCCTCCCGCTGCTGCCGCGTAATTTCTGTTCTCATCCTGAAGCAAAGTTCTTAACCCGAGATACTATTCTGAGTTAGTGGAGTCTGTAACCTGAAGCGTCTGTAACCTGAAGCGTCTGTAACCCGAGGTACCACTGTATTTGTTACCCCAGTTTGCTGCGTTCTTGGGAAAGTCTTTTAGCTTCACCTCATATTTAGTGTGAGGAAGGGCCATAGCTCAGCAGGAGAGCATCTGCTTTGCATGCAGAAGGTGCCAGGTTCAATCCCTGGCATTTCCAAGTAGGGCTGGGATAGATCCCTGCCTGAAGCCCTGGAGAACTGCAGCCAGATGGTGTAAGCAGTGCTGAGCAAGATGGACCAATGGTCTGACTTAGCATAGGCCGCTTTCTATGTTACCAACAATAATGCATTGGAAGAGTGAGAAATTGCCACTGAGCAAGACATTTTAGCCAGTGCAGTTGCCCTTAATTTTTTAAGCCTTAAGTGGATGTTAACAAAGCCAGATATTTCTGTGAGAAATTTAAGCAGAAACCATTTACGTGTTTTGAAAGCTTCGCATAATAATAATAATAATAATAATAATAATAATAATAATAATAATATCAGTATTTATCTGCCAACCATCTGACTGGGTTGCCCCAGCCACCCTGGGCTGCCCCAAACAGAATATTAAAAACACAATAAAACATCAAACTTTTAAAACTTCCTTATACGCCTTTAGCGTTTGTCCCTGTTCCCCTCCTCCACCAGGACAGTTTACTGCTTCCTTCCCATCCATGACTGTCATTTTATTAATCTCTAGTCAGCTTCTTCACAACAATAACTTGACACCATTCGGTGAGAATACATTTCTGAGAAAATGAACACTCCAGGCATGCTTTACAGCCTCATCTCATGAATGCAAACGCTGGAGACTCATCTCCCCTCAAGTGTTTTTGAGCAAGTGATGGTGAGTGTAGCATTGTGCACTTGAAAAATTGAAATTTCGGGAAAGGTTGAGTCATGTCAGCCACCCAAGGAGTGCAATAATCCAAGGAGAACTGTTGTTGTTGTTGTTTTAATGGCTGGTTAAGAAAGGGGAAATGTTCAAGGGGAAGGCCAGATCCAGACATTAAGGACCAAACTGGAAGTTTAGTAAATTGCATGAATTCAATTAATTTGCATGTTAAAACAAGTGCTTGTAGAATATGTGTGGGGGACACTTAACAGGCTTAGGACCATGTGTGAGCCAGTAAAGGGAGTTTCTTTTCACCATAGTCTCAACGAAAATTGTCCCAGCAGCTGCTGTTTGCAGTGGTGGGAAGCCTCTGTTAAACCTGTCCCCATGGTCCTGCTTCTGCCCTCACAGCTGCTATTTTCATTTTTTAATGGTGCCATGTTAACTGTATCCACACAGTGGCATTTCCAGTTTGGCTCTTAGCAGTGTTGCGGCTGTTGCAAAGTTTTAAAGAGATGGGCAGCTCATTCTACCATTAAGTGGTGCTGCTGTCTCCAGATAGGAGGTGTGACACCTGCTGAAAGGATAAGCCTGAAAATCACTATACAAATATCCCAAAGGCATATTATATTTCCTACCTCTGCTGGGCACATATGTACCTGAAATTTTGGAGATCTAGTACACTATAAATGTAAGCAGTGCCTTTATTGTGATAGTCCTTACCAGAGTGGAGTGCTGGCAACTCTTTAACCTCTTTTCCCCCTCTACTGAAGGCAGCCATCTTTTGCTGGTAGTCACAGCACATTAATCAATATGGAACTACCATCACCTCATTTTTTTTACACCAACACCCACTGTGTGCGTAAGGTGTTCACATATAATAAAGGTAGACACTTTGATAATTATTTTCTGGAGACCTTCTGAGTGGGAGCTTCACCAAAAGTACGGTTGTACCTTGGAAGTTGAACGGAATCTGTTATGGAAGTCCTTTCGACTTCCAAAATGTTTGGAAACCAAAGCACGGCTTCTGATTGGCTGCAAGAAGCTCCTGCAGCCAATCGGAAGCTGTGGAAGCCCCGTTGGACATTCAGGTTCCAAAGAACGTTTGCAAACCGGAACACTCACTTCCGGGGTTGCGGTCTTCGGGAGCCAAAACGTTCGACTTGCAAGGTATTCGGGATCCAAGGTACGACTGTACGGCTAATTACATTTCTTAGAAAATTTCCTAACTTGGGCTGTAAATCTCTTCCTGTGCAATCCTCAATAAGTGTACTCAGAAATAAGCCCCTCTGAGTAGATAAAGGATTGCAGTTTTTGATGACTAAATCTGTAATGCCTGCCTCAGTAGTTATGCAGCACATTAAATATATTAAACCTTCTACGTTGTCATACAAACGTTCCAGAGTAGGTCACAATGATTCTTATTCTTAGAGAGAAAGTATGGTGACTAAATGAATGCACAACAAATTTTAATTTTGAATCTGGTTCCCAAATAATCCAAAGGGGAAGATGCTGGATTGAGATATACCATGCATTTTGGAGACATTCAGTTTAATGAGGGACACAATTATTTGTTACATGGAGGCCAACTGCTAAACCACTAGACCTGGTGAGGAAAAGGATACATTTGTCCGTTTCGCAAACAGACTAAACAAACATTGGTACTCCCAGGATATACACTTAACATTTGACGTGGAGGCTGTCAAAGTTTCACATCTTTTGTACAGAAATGGAAAGTACTCCCTTTCATTGATTACAGTTTATTTCATTCTTTGTGTTTCCTGTCGGCAGGAGCAATAAATGAAACAGGCATTTATTTTAGTTTGAGAGTTATTTGTTGGACAATTTAATTTCTGCAGGGTAAATGTTGGAGAGAGACAGAGAGCGGCAAAGGCAGAGGGGACCTTGTTGCTCTCACTGTTCTTTTACACACAGTGTGGGTGATGCTGGAAAAACAAAACCAGCCAGTTATAAAGCTCAATGAGGTTTAAATAGTAACTTTGTGTTGACTAGTTAAATAGCAATTTGTACTCTTATCTGTTTTAATGTATTTGAAATGTGTCACAAGCCACGTCAACAACTTCTAATAGTAATTATTATTATTATTATTATTATTATTATTATTTATTTACTATTATTACTATTATTATTAGAGTTAGAATTAGAAATACTACTAAATAAAAAATACGTATTTTGTGCTTGGGATAATAAATAAAATTCATAACATGGAGCCCAGAGATATAAATGATAAAACCTGAAATTTCAGTTCAGTATAATTTCTACATTACAACAGAACCAAATTCAGTGCAATGTATGATAATGCTAACTCTACCTACAGGCCAATTTCTGTCTTCTCACATGATACACAATTTGCTGAAGGATCCGTCTCTGTTTCAAACGGTAACACTTTTTTTGCTCCTCACACCAAAGTTTCACAGAAACTACATTTTCTGTTGCATTTGATCTGACAGCTTCCCTTAAATTCATCACAGACGATATCAGTGGCAGCCAAGGGAGTAAAAAAGTCAGCAGAATTGATTTGTTGGAAGATTGGAGAGTGGCAGCCTAGACTGTGGGCATGAGGCTCTGCTGCTGCTTGTCAGCAGTAAGACCATCAAACAAGAGGCGATTTTCTGACTGTCGTATAATATCACTTATGTTGCTTCCTTTACCACAGTAGAATGCTTTCTCCTTGAGTCCACGGGTGGGTCATCTGCGCTCATAAAGTAAGATCAGATTCACTCTCTCAGTGACTGCTGCATCTTTATTTCTTCTTAAAAGGCAAAAAGTAGGGGAAGCCAGGGGAAGCCACAGAACCATGGAAATTCACATGCCCTTCAGTTCAAATCATTCAGGGTTGTAAATCTTTGAAGCTGCTGGCACATACCTGCTCTTTAGTGAATGTGCCACTGAGATCCTGTTCTCTGCTCTGTCAATGTAAGATATTATGTTGACATTACTTCTGGGCAGTGGGTCCACACTTCTGGAATGCTGTCCCCCATGAAATATGAGTGTCTTCAAATTTTCTGAAGATTTCAAGATGGGAAAATGAAAAAAAGGAAGAAAGAAATTCATTCCCCCATTTTTCCTTTTTGATGTGTTAATTCCTACTGTTCAAGGGGTTGTAATGTACTTTTGATTGTATAGTTATTGTGGTTTGTTGTCTTTTTATTAAATTGTGCATATTGCCTCGGAGGGAGGGGCAACTGTGTTCCATAAGGTGGTCAGGCAATAAATAAATAAACACACTAAAACCTAATCGTTTTTAGTGGGGTTGGGTACACTTCTAAGGGCCTTCAGGTTTTGCCCTGTATATTAGGATCAAAACATGAGTGGTCCCCCGCCCCCGCGCGCGCGCTTTGTGGCAAAGGAAAAATAAGTTTTATTCTCAATAGGATGGGTGAATAGGTCACTTTCCGTTCCTGCAGTGTCTCATTTTTACAATTTTCGGTTCAGTTTTCCACATTTCTACATCAGTTTCTGGTTTGTTTGTTTTTTTTAAAAATCTCATAAAATGTGCAAATTTCTCCTACCACCCATTTGTGTGTGCAGTTTTGCATATTGTACACATTGATGCAAAACAATTTCCCCTCATATCATGCATTTTAGTGTGTTATTTTCAGTAGTATATGCATTTATATGCACGCTCATCACTAGTATGTGCATTTTTGTGCATGGTGATTGGCTGCAGAACTGCATTGCCAAGTTTGAAAAAGTGAATTTCAAAGGATAGGTGTGTTCACAAATGGCTTTGGAAAATGGAAAAAAGTTTGCTTTTAAATGTGAACTGAATTGAATTTCCTGATTTTCATGATTATCAGAAGTTCAGATATGAGACGACTTCTGTGCCATCGCCTTGGCAAAGTGCTGCAAGAATCACAGGAACCAAGCTAATGACTGCTGAACTGTCCACAGGGAGATGCTGGTTCACAAATTGTGTCTCTGAATGAGTGAGCCCAGCTGGGGCCTATATAATATCATGTCACACAACCTTAATATTTGCCTACTGGTGTCTCTTCTTAGAACAAAATCAACATATTTATTTTGTTTTTGCAATGGCCCTGGACACTATAATTCTTTACCTATAATTATTTTGAGAGATTGTAGGTTTGAAATTGGGACCGTAGAGATTCGTTCTCCAAAGAAAATGAAGAATTCAGTCTTGGTAATTAGGCTCTGCACAATCCTATGTATCTAGACCATCTAACCAATTCCCAGTAGCTCTTAATGAGATTGAGACTTCTTAAATGTACATATACATAGAGTTGGGGTTGCCAGTGTAGCTTTTGTGTGTGCAATGGCACCCTTGAGAGCGTCCTCTGCTACCCCCTGCTCACTGCTGCCATTGTTTTGAGGTGGCAAGGGTGATCGTCCCATTTAAAAGCTCTCTGGGTATCATTGGAGCAATCATTTTCCTAGCCACACCTACCTCACAGGGTTGTTGTGAGGATAAAAGGAGGAGGAGGAAAACATTCCAACTTGAGCTATTTAGAGAGAAAGTAAATGTAATAAATTAGTGAATTATCACATAGCTAGATTTGCTGATATACCTCATGCCTGTGTGCCCTCCTTTATCTCCTTTTACAGATGTTAAAACGAGGTACTGCAAAAGCCCATTCTGTACGTATTTCCTATAGCTATAAGAAAAAACAGCATGATAGAAAATTGGCATTCCTGGAGGGTTAATACTGTTCTGTTAACAACTGCCAGAGCAAGTAATTCATCATGCCTCGCCATTGGGAAGCCGGAAGATTCATTTCTGAATAATCAGTGGCAAAAAGAACCAATAAATAATAATATTTAAAAGGTCATTGTAAAGAAGAGATAGAATGTGATTGTCCCCTTCCCCCTTTTTTCTAAAGCCTTTTATGTGAGAATTAGTCAAGAATTTATGGCAAAATGTAGAGACAATCTGAAATTGCCTTTCATACCATTTTGCACTTATTATGAATATTTATTCGGTTTGCCCTTTATGGCAAGTCTGCAACTCAAGAACATGGAGGGGAGTGAATTGAGAAATGGTCCTTAACGTCGTCTCTTTTGAGGCATTCTAATACTTTAAGATGGTTTAAAAAATTAAAAAGTACCACACCCAGGATTTCACATGTGAGCTTGAAATGAAGCCAAGTCAATCAGTGACGAGAACACCCGATGATATGATTCTCTGTAAGCCAAGACAGCTTCATAGAAGACCCCGATTTTAGCTACTAATTGTCCATGTTTCATCACACCTGCAAAGACCCTCGTTAAATCAACAGCATCACAAATTTTTGAAGCATCCAGATTCTTGAGGCCTTAGTCTTTTCAACAATCACTACACATCTCACATCTGGACGGGTGGAACTCCTATAACTTCTTATTAGCTGTAGATAGAGTGAAATCTCTGTCCCCATTTACGAAACTTTCTTGACTTTAAGAAAGCCGACTTCATAAAACTTAGGGAAGTGCTGGGTGAGATCCCATGGACAGTAATACTAAAAGGAAAGGGAGTTCATGATGGCTGGGAGTTTGTTAAGAGGGAGATAGTAAAAGCACAACGTCAGGCAATACCAATGAGACGGAAACATGGAAGGTGCCTAAAGAAGCCAGGGTGGCTATCTAAAGAACTTTTAACTGAGTTAAGATTTAAAAAGGATGTGTACAAAAATGGAAAAGGGGAAACCACCAAAGAGGAATTCAAACAAATAGCCAGCACGTGTAGACACAAGTCAGAAAAGCTAAAGCACAGAATGAACTCAGGCTTGCTAGAGAGGTTAAAAGCAACAAAAAAGGCTTTTATGGGTATGTTCGTAGCAAAAGGAAGAACAAAGAAACAGTGGGGTCACTCAGAGGAGAAGATGGTGAAATGCAAACAGGGGACACAGAAAGGGCTGAACTCCTCAATGCCTTCTTTGCCTCAGTCTTCTCCGATAAAGAAAACAATGCCCGACCTGAAGAATTTGGAGCAAATGATTCAGCAGAGGAAACACAGCCCAGAATAACTAAGGAGATAGTACAAGAATACTTGGCTAGTTTAGATGTATTCAAGTCTCCAGGGCCAGATGAACTGCATCCAAGAGTATTAAAAGAACTGGCAGATGTGATCTCAGAACCACTGGCAGTCATCTTTGAGAATTCCTGGAGAACAGGCGAAGTCCCGGCAGACTGGAGGAGGGCAAATGTTGTCCCTATTTTCAAAAAGGGAAAAGAGAGGACCCAAATAATTACCGCCCAGTCAGTCTGACATCAATACCAGGGAAGATTCTGGAGCAGATCATTAAGCAAACAGTCTGTGAGCACCTAGAAAGGAATGCTGTGATCACCAATAGTCGGCATGGATTTCTGAAAAATAAGTCATGTCAGACTAACCTGATCTCGTTTTTTGACAGAATTACAAGCCTGGTAGATGAAGGGAACGCAGTGGATGTAGCCTACCTTGATTTCAGCAAGGCATTTGACAAGGTGCCCCATGATATTCTTGTAAAGAAGCTGGTAAAATGCGGTCTTGACTATGCTACCACTCAGTGGATTTGTAACTGGCTGACTGACCGAACCCAAAGGGTGTTCATCAATGGTTCCTCTTCATCCTGGAGAAGAGTGACTAGTGGGGTGCCACAGGGTTCTGTCTTGGGCCCGGTCTTATTCAACATCTTTATCAACGACTTGGATGATGGACTCAAGGGCATCCTGATCAAATTTGCGGACGACACCAAACTGGGAGGGGTGGCTAACACCCCAGAGGACAGGATCACACTTCAAAACGACCTTGACAGATTAGAGAACTGGGCAAAAACAAACAAGATGAATTTTAACAGGGAGAAATGTAAAGTATTGCACTTGGGCAAAAAATGAGAGGCACAAATACAAGATGGGTGACACCTGGCTTGAGAGCAGTACATGTGAAAAGGATCTAGGAGTCTTGGTTGACCACAAACTTGACATGAGCCAACAGTGTGACGCGGCAGCTAAAAAGCCAATGCAATTCTGGGCTGCATCAATAGGAGTATAGCATCTAGATCAAGGGAAGTAATAGTGCCACTGTATTCTGCTCTGGTCAGACCTCACCTGGAGTACTGTGTCCAGTTCTGGGCACCACAGTTCAAGAAGGACACTGACAAACTGGAACGTGTCCAGAGGAGGGCAACCAAAATGGTCAAAGGCCTGGAAACGATGCCTTATGAGGAACGGCTAAGGGAGCTGGGCATGTTTAGCCTGGAGAAGAGGAGGTTAAGGGGTGATATGATAGCCATGTTCAAATATATAAAAGGATGTCACATAGAGGAGGGAGAAAGGTTGTTTTCTGCTGCTCCAGAGAAGCGGACACGGAGCAGTGGATCCAAACTACAAGAAAGAAGATTCCACCTAAACATTAGGAAGAACTTCCTGACAGTAAGAGCTGTTCGACAGTGGAATTTGCTGCCAAGGAGTGTGGTGAAGTCTCCTTCTTTGGAGGTCTTTAAGCAGAGGCTTGACAACCATATGTCAGGAGTGCTCTGATGGTGTTTCCTGCTTGGCAGGGGGTTGGACTCGATGGCCCTTGTAGTCTCTTCCAACTCTATGATTCTATGATTCTATGAAACAGAAACCCAACCAAAACAACAGGATTCTTTTGTGGCAGCAAACACCATGTTGTGCAGTAGAGAGACTTGCTTACAATAGATTCATCATATTTTTACGGTCCTCCCAAGTGATGATGGCTACAAATGCTAGTTCTGCTTACTACCTTTTTGTACCTCCTCCAAAAATGTTAGGACAATGTGCAGGGTTTTCTCCCATATTATCCTCTCAAAAATACTATGAGGTAGGTTAGGCTGAGAGATTGTCACTGGCCCAAAGGTCACCCAGCAGACTTAATGGCTGATCAGGAATGTGAATCTTCTCTTCCCCTCCCCCTTACTCTTTCTGCTTATCAGAGTTTGGGATTAGGAAGTGGATAGACAGCTGTGCTTGTGCAGGCATCTGAAATGTTATTTTAATAGTATGAAGTACAAAGTCTGCCACTTGAATAATAACAAGTATCAGATGAAGGAGGAATCGGAAAGAAAGAGATCTGAAGCTGAACATAGGATTATCGAGAGTCAGAAATACAGCTATAAAAATGGAACATAAAAATCCATCAATGTATTAATTAGGTGTTATGCTTTTAACAGGGCAGAGAAGTATTAAAAGCATTCTTAATAAGGATGATTAAAAGCACATATTTTTAATCATCTTTATTAATCACAGAAGTATGAGAGTTGTAAGTGGCATCACCAGGTAGGGAAGATGAGGCATTCTTGCTTCTTTACCTGCCACACAAAGAAACCGTACTAACAAGATAGGCATCTACAACTTTTCAGAGTGTCACTTAGCCCATTCCCAGCACTGACAAATGTCCTTGTGTTGGCTGTGTCTGGAAGTGCTGGTGATACAGGAACATGAATGCTGTTGTGGCCCAACTGAACTTGGCTGGAAAAAAATCTCATCAACTCTTTTCCATATGGCAATAACAATTCCGAGTTGCATCAGTCAAAATAAAGCTTCAGTCTCTATGCAAAATCAATATTTTGCCTATGTACATTACTCTAGGCCTAGAGGCAAAAGACTTGCTTGCTAGGCTGGGATTTTAATTTAATCTTTGACAGATTTTGTTACTGAACATGTTCTGTAAATCACATTGGTCCCACTCACATTGGTGCATATTTCATTGTAAATAAATCACACTGGAAAGTGTTTTGAATTGCAAACAGAATGGGATTAGCCACTGCCTTTTGGGGGTTGTTATTGTTTCTGCTCACAGCCCTAAACAGAGATCAAATGAGCACTGGAAATTCCAAGGATTAGGTGCCTTCCAACAAATTTCACTGCAAACGCCAGAATTTTAATTTTTATTTAGCTGGTGGCTTCACAGATAACCTTTGGAAGGCAAGCGGCTTAGGCTGCTGAGGCCCAAAGATGCAGCCTTGGCCTCAATCCAAGCTGTCCTCTCTTAGGGCAGCAAAAGTCGCTCAACACAAGGCATGGCATACACTTGTTCTTTATTAGGAGTGGAGGGTTATTGGTTTGTTTTTGTTTTTTTAAATGTGTTTTGTGTTCTCATTTTGTATTTTTACGTTGTGCACTGCCCTGTGATCTTTGAATGAAGGGCAGTATACAAATTTAATAAATAATAAATTATTACCTATTAGGGATGCTTGCTGCTGATCTTGGAAAAAAAACATTTGGTGACAGGGTGGTGGGATAGCCAGTACAGAAATACTGTTGCTATTCTGCTTTGCTATTTTCCTGGTTGTGCTATTTTCCAAAGTATATAATCTTAGCCAATGAAACAGGAAAAGTGGCTACAGCTGTTAATACTGGTCATTGACTGTAAGAAATTGATTGACTACAGCTGTCACCAGGCTGTTGAGAATTGTTTTTGTCTCTTCTCTCTCTCTCCTCCTACCCTTGACATTGTTCCTCATTTTTCAGACTTTAGCATCAGTGCTAGTCAACATGCAGTTTTAAACGTATGTATTAAAACATTGTGTGCTTGGGATTAAATGTTTTCTTGCTCAGGTGTTAGCCTTTTGAGCTAGCAGTCTTAATCATGGGTCTTCCATTCTGCAACTGGAATTGCAGTGGAAGGGAAATTAAGTGTTCAACTCCATCACTACCATGTATTGAGCAGGCTGGAAGTCTGGATGTATTTGAGTATATAATGTCAGCAATGTTTAATACTGTACATGGCAAGGCTTGCAGGCAGTGATCCTTGTTGTGTTTCTGGGGGTGCTATAAACACCCGAGGGTGTGCCTGTTTTCATTAATGAAAAGTTGGGAGATGAAGTGCTAATTGAGGCACTACTGGAAATGAGTTTTCTAGAACTGATGTGATCACTTTTCTCCTTCCCTCATTTTTTTGGCAGGAGACTGATTGGTGGATGTGTGAAGCTGTGGTCCAGTAGCACAATGTTAAAGCAGAGAGAGTGTTTCTTGATGTGGCTTTGCTTGTGGAACACCAAGTGACTGGATTGCTTTTTATGAGGCCAAATCTGAGTGTTTTGGCCTTACCAATATACATAGCTGAGGATGGGAGGAAATGTAGATTTGGTCATCATCTTAGTCCTTCCCAGCAATCTTTTGTTTAGATCCCCACAGTGGTATCAACCAGTGATCTTGTAGTAAATAGTAATCTTACTGGTAAAATCTTTTAATCCCTTAAAATGTCTATTACTTGACTCTTACTTCCTTGGGGAATCATTTAATTAGCCAGCCTGTGGTGGAATCATCACGAATCCAATTCCTATTGGATGTTTAAGGCAGTGCTGGCTCTCATGTGCACATTTCCTAAAGTAACTTTGTAATACCGCATTATTCGCCGGCAAAAACCTGCTCCAGAAACCTGTGGGAAGGAACCAAGTGTTTTCACTGAAGGAAGACTTCCAGGGAAGCACAAGAATTGGTAAGATAAAAGTAAACATTTAATGCCACTATATTTTGATATCTTTTAAACATCATATCTTTGACAATATGTTTCACACCTCATATACCACAAAAGGTAAGAGATTCTTTTTTTAAACCAGCAAACAGTGAACTTTACATTTTAATGGCAAAAGGCTTGACATATTCATTCAATCAGTTTCCATTTTGTGTGTGTTTCTCGGTTACTTTTCCATTCTTGTCCTACTGCTGTCTGGGTCCACCCCCTCCCTGTTGGTTCTTTTTCCAGCAAAGCGGAGGTGAGGAACCTCAGAGGCTCTGGGGTCAAGTGCTGCCCCCCCAGCCCACTCTGTCTGGCTCCCAGGACTCTTCTCAGGCCACATCCCCTCTCTCTAGGTCAACCCTCGCCAGCCCTCCTTGAGTGATCTTGCTTGACTGGAATGGGTCTTTGAACCCCGACAGTGGCTCTTGGTTGCCTGGATCAAGGAAGGTGGGTACGTTTGCATGGAAGCTAGCATGTACAAAGGTAACATTTACATTTGTCTCTTCGGCCACTTTTGTCTCTGGCCCCACCCATTGCTGGCATGTGGCTGACCCCCTGGAAGGTTGCACAGATGGGAATGTGGCTCTGGGTCTGGAAGAAGTCCCCCACCCCTGTAATGGAGCTTAGGTGATATAGCAGACGATTTGTGTGTAGATCTGTCTTCTTGTGGAACTTCTCGTGACTGACTCAGTAGAAGTGATTCCCCCTAGCAGGGGTCTCTCTCCAACCTTACGTGACTTTATTATACCACGGTTACTATGGAAAAGGACATAGCCACAGACAGAATGAAATGGATTCAGCAAATGTACACTTCAATGCATAGCACTTAGATAAGCATTTCCAATCATGATGGTTAAATAAATTATAAAGTACAAGCAATTCTATAAAGCAAGAACATCCTGAGTTTACAAATAAATTATGTCCTTCATACGTCAAATAGGTGATGGATGTCAGATAGCAGTTTCAGCTAGGGAAATTGGGGAAGGAGCTGAAATTTAGAAAAAGTAGTATCTATGTGTACATAAAATCTTTAGGCGAGTGAGTGTTTTATTCAGATACCCATTCACACGCATATTATACAATATATAAGGTGGCTAAATTCATATAGAGAGTATATGTCATATAGATATAGCTGAAACTGCTTTAAGCACCACTTTTATTACCATCATTTTATTATAAAGTATGCTCCAGAGTTGAGTAGGGCCACTCAAAGTTTTACAAAATGCATCCTCTCCTCCATCCTTGGGAGATGTTGAAAGATCAGTTTGAATGGGTGTTGTTCGGGCTCAAATAACCTACCATGGATTTTTCCTGCAACAGGAACATCTTGGACCACCTTGATCAAGCAGGCTGGAAGTTAATGCTTGAATCTGAGTACCAGGAATTCAGTAGCAAAAGGTATTCTCAAGATGGTACGTAAAAGAAGTTCATATCAACTCCACTGGCAAATTTGTGGCCAAGTTTGGATAGTCTGACAACAGAAGTTTGAGAAACATGCCACATCTGCTTAGTTGGCCAGAGGCAGATGCTCCAATAAAATAAAATAAAAACTTTCATCTGGAAATAGTTTAGAAAAAAATTGGTTGCTCTCATTTCTTGACTATTAGCTAGAGCAGAGGAAAAATTCTATGAAGCATCATGGGTGCTCAGCTATTATTTTGCAACCTTCGTGCAAGGTGGAAGTTATTAGCTAAAAATTAGTTAGGAAATTGTCGAATGAGCCAAAGAATCACAGCCAAGGCTTCTCTGGGCTCTGAAGCATATGATTGCCAAGTGCAGTCACCAGAGCATATGGGCCACTGCTTTCCTCGCTGACATCTGTGGTAGCGAGTTACCATTTAATGAGAGTTTGCTTAATGTTTTACATGTTGCTTATGATCAACAATAACCATTTTAGATGTTGCTTGCATGTGTCTTTCATCATATATGCCATTTGCCATAGGCACATCACTGTTCCATGCCTTGATGCCAAAATGTCTGTGGTACAGCTCTTTCCCTCAACATAGATCAGGGAAATATTTTGTGAGCTACTTTAGCTCATCTGCTTTCCTTCAGTCCTCTGCCAATTAGAGAAGGCCTGCTTGGGGGCTCAAAAGGCACAGGGGTGTTGTTTCATTTTATAAGGAGCAAATAGTCACGCTCCATTTTGATCACACATTATCTGTTTATATTATACATATAGTGGCAGAATTAATCCTAGAGGTCTAGAGTGCACCTGACCTTAAATTATTGACACCTAAATGCATTTTTCTATTTATTTTTATAAATGTTTAAACCATTTTTCAAAGGTTTATACGAGGCAACTACAGCCACACAGCTTTATAGGCAGGAGAACATGCATAGATAATAACACAGCCCTCGTTTTAAAATATAGTTTCTATAAAATACAGTGGCATAAATGGCCAGCCTGCTGGTGAGTGGGGGCTGTAAAGGTTTTATGGACAGAGTTTTGCAATGAGCGTCATAAGTTATGCTTTGCTACTTGTAAGTAGCTGCCCTACCTCAAACACATAAAACATAGCTGTACCACCACACAGATTTCCATCGGTTTATCTATGTACCCTCCTAACCTTATTGTTTTTAACTCAGCAAAGTGAAAAGATGTGTGTGCTATGGCTGTTACTTGTTTTCTAATGTCAGTGTTTAGGAATGCAAATAAGGAAAATTGGGGGGAGGGTTTGTTTGACATAGACAGCAAACAAAAAAATACCATACTAATCTACAACATTGAATATGATGTGGACATATGAATGGTATTTCCACCACCCTCCTCTACCCCTCAGGAGCTGCATTTTGCCCCATGGGGAAAATAGTTTCGGATGTTTTCTGTGTTTAGAAAATAGTTTGGGGGAAAGTGTTACATCCCCCAATTCCCAAAGAGGAAGCACTGGGGCACCCAAACACCACCTTTAGCCTTCTAAGACACTGCCCAATCCTCCATCATCACATCTCATTTGACCCTAGGATTTTGTGCTTCCAAGTTATGCCTGTAATTCAGCAAGTGACACTTGCACATGATGCCTTCTTGGTTTGATCTAGCGAACTTATCTTAAGCAGCACATGTGTTCTTACCAGGCACCAAGAGGCCATGAAGTAGCTTTGCAAATGTTGCAAGCTTGGGCCTTGGGAAATTACCTTACTTGCAAATATTTATTTTGCAGGAAATTTCAAGGAATGTGAAGGCGGTCAGAAGAAAGTGAGGTGAGAACATATTTCAGAGGAAAATCAGAATTTTACCATTGTTATAAAAGACTTTGTTCATGCACTTGGATCAGGTAGGGAAGACCACATGTTTTTAGGGCCAGGCTTTTGGTAGTCTTTGTCTTCACAGGACACAGAGCTGATGTGTGACATTTGTGCCATTGTTGTTGTACTGTAGATTCATTTAATGACTCATGAATAATCTGATGAACTTTTAATAATGCATTTGTGACGGTAAATTGTGATACTAGTTGTTTAATATTTCTGAATGCCTTGTTTTGCGTCTCACAATAACTTACTGAGAAGGAGAAAGCTGGATCAAGTGGCGTCTCATCTTGGCATGACTACTAAAAATAAAATTGGCAAATTTTGGAGTTTGTTGATAGAAGTGTTTTGAAGAGATAGTGGAAGATGCTTATCAAGCAGAGATACAATAAGGTGTTGCTCATTTAACTCTCCCCCTTTGAAGTATTATGTTCTGATCCATAATATATGTACATGTATACAGAAGCAGTCCTCCTTGTCCCCATCCCTAGCCTGTTAAGAGAATCAATTATGGCAAAAAAGTGTCTCCTACCCAATCCAGCAGATGGAGCAGTACATATGCTGTTCCATTCTTTAAAAATGTATCTCACAGATCAGAAAGGAGAAAGGGGGCTGGATTCATTTTTTGCAGAGCTACGTTTTCTACTGAGCAGGTTTTGCAGCTTTTTAAAAGGGCTGTTTGTGTATTGGTGCTGTGATGTGTATTGATGTGCATCTAAACATAATACATGTCCTCCTTGATCATACAAATGGTCCATCTAGTCCAGCATCCTGTTTCTCATGGTGCTCAACTGGAAGTCTCTGAGAAGCAGGGCATGAAGACTTGCCTTGTTGTGGCTTCAGCACCTGATATTCAGTGCCTACTGACCTCTCAGCCGAAAGGTTCCCTATAGCAATCTTGACTACTCTCCATGAATTTGCCTAATCCCTTTTAAACCCATCCCAACTAGAGGCCACCACCACACCTGATTGCTGTAAATTCCACAAACTAGAAGGATGCTGGTCTGATCTACCATAACCATTCCAATGTTCATAGACCCAGAGTGATAACAGGTAGGGAATCATTTGCATTATCTCTGTAACCAAATGAAGGCAGCTCTAGGACAAACGTAGGCAGCTCTAGGACAAACGTAGACACACCTCAGAAAAAAAGAGGCAGTGGTCAATCAACATCACTGGTCTTCAGCTGGTGGACTGAGATGTGCTAGTGGGTTAACAGGAGCATCACCACCATGCAATATAAGGTAAAAGATTAAGAAATTGGTCCCCAAATTCATGCTTGGATTAAAAGTGAATCCTGGGTCTGAAAAGAATGAAGATACCTGGTCAACATAAACTAAGAGAAATAGTAATTATCTTCATTTGAGCATCCATGTAAATACCACAATCTGAGTACAAAAAGTAACAGCTAACAAAAACAAACAAACAGTGAAGACTTCTGCTTTCCTAGTGATGTCAACTGAAATCTTGTTATTTTGCCAGAAAATCCACATTTATGTTCTTTAGTAACAAAGTGGACCTCTCCTCTTCCATTACTATCAAATATTTTGGGTTTCATGTACACGGTTTAATATCTTTTTTCTCTTTGAGTGGCCTTACTCTCGTGTGTAACAATAAATGACAGTTAACATTTATTTATATGCTGTATCGGTTAAGAAATATCTCTACAAACACAAGTTACGTAGAAACAGCAAGTCAGAAATAGGATAAAACACCAAGGGAGGGGAAAACAGGCTGTAAATACATTTCAGAAAATGTGTTTTGATTTTTTGTCTTTTTCTTTTTCTTGACTAGCACCATCTGTACACAAGAAAGTATGAACATAAATGTTTGGATAATAAAGATTTGCAAGGCACTTAAGACAGTCTTCCTGTGTATTTTTACTTCAATGGTGCTCTCAGCAGCAGTCGGTCCTACATCTGCTCTTCCTCCCTCTACAGCTATTGTTGAGGGGTAAAGTCACTTCTGCCAGCAGTTCCTATTTACAAACATGTCCTTAAAGATTTCTCAAAGTGCTCTTTCAGGCTAGGAGATTCCACATCCTTATTTCTCAGCGTCTTTGCTTTTCATCATCATCATCGCCATCTAGTCAATGTATGCACCACTCTTCAGCATAAGAGGGGGGAAATCTCTTCCACACACAGTCAAAACATGACACCAACCTTCATCCTCATTCTAGGTCTTTGGGGTGCTGTTCAAAAGGGAGAAAGGGGAGTGGCAGTAGTCCAAAATGTTCTCGAGGTTAATTCTTCACCGACGCCCAGAAGTGATGTCAAAGCAGGTGATCATCATGAGGTGGGCCTTGCAATAGTTGACACGGTTCTCTAGTCGCTCAGTCACGCACTCGAGAGCCTCCAAGTACTCCAGGGAATCCAAGTCAAATACTTGCTCCAGATCAACTGTGGGAAAGGAAGCAAAAGGCCCAGCACATTACCCAAATTGGTAGCGCAAGCCCTACATCGCTGTTATCTTTAAGGGCTCATTCACACAGGTGTGTATATTACTCAAGGGACTAGATTCAAAGAACTGTGAAAGGGAAACGTTTGTGCAAGAAACGGGCAATGCTATGACAGGTAGGTTCTATAGCAGGCCTCAGTGGAAGAACATTGTTAGATTTGTTTTAGCTGTCCTCATACAATGCTCCTGAGTTCAGAAGTCACCATCTGCATGCAGAAAGGCAAGTGAACTTATGAACAGGCTCTGCTGAAAATGCTCATAACAAGTACAATGGTACCTCGGGTTACATATGCTTCAGGTTACATACACTTCAGGTTACAGACTCCGCTAACCCTGAAATAGTACCTCGGGTTAAGAACTTTGCTTCAGGATGAGAACAGAAATCGTGCTCCGGCGGCGCGGCGGCAGCAGGAGGCCCCATTAGCTAAAGTGGTGCTTCAGGTTAAGAACAGTTTCATGTTAAGAACGGATCTCCAGAACGAATTAAGTACTTAACCCGAGGTACCACTGTAATATGAAGTTCCCTGCACCGCATGATAAAAAGTAAATATTTTATGGACCTTTCATAGTACATAAAAGACTTAAGGCCACAATCCTAAAGCCACATCATAAGAGATGTGGCAAAGAGGGCCTCCATCAGTGGGATGGTGGAGTGCCTGGTACATCCACAGGAAGCTCTGTACTGTCAGTGGTGCATTGTTAGTGGTAGGGCACATTGACCCTCACCCCGAAGGGCAAAAACTACACCAGCCCTGGAGCTGGCATAGAGATTTTCCTTCCTACTGATGTCAAATAGTATTTTCTCAACCATGGGAGCTCACCACCACCACTTTAGGATTGCGCAGTAACAGGTTGGCTGCAACATGTGCTTTTGTGGATTAGAGCCCTCTTTTTCAGGTGCCCAAAGTCCTATTCTTAGTGTTATTCTCTGCTCTAAGTAGCTAGCAGCAAAATACTTTTCCTTTATAGTTGAGGTACCCTCACCTATTAATTTAGCTAGCTTTGGCTGTATCTTTTATACATTTTGTTTGCTTCTTTAAAAGAATCCTTCCTAATTTGAATATGGGATTCTTTAATCTCTTTATGAATGAGCTGTATGAACTCTATCCTTTTCTAGCTATATGTAAAAGGGGGGGAAAACAAATTAATGTCTTCATAAGTCATTTCAACCAAATTTGCCTGAAAGTATTATTTCACAGCAGGAGAGCAGATTTAAAATATAATTCATATGTCTGAGTGATCTGAGGGCAAAGGGGGGTGGGGAGGGAAATCTCATTTTCAGAAGCTCTGGAGTGAGACGCATAAGCGTTAATCTAGTGATGGCAATATTCCTCACTAGAATGCTGCATAATTCCTGGCTTTGACTCTTGAGCAAATAGGCCCACTTGGTTCCAATGTCACAGTTTAATAGGAATTATGCAGGAACAGTTTTAGAAATGCAGTCCATCCAAATCTGCTCCAGGTCAAACATCAGCACAGGCTTTGCTTATAAACATAGTAGTTCATGACTTAGCTACAGCACCAGTAAAGTTTTGTGTCAATAAAATAAACCACTATAGGCAGTAAAACCTTACATTCACTGAGCCATTTATTAGGATCCAGCATCAGGTACTGTTTGGTCACTTCCAGCTCCCTCATTAACCACTCGTACTTGGCCTTGACCTCTGCAATTCGCTGCTGCCGGTGCTCCAAGATTTTCAGTTTAGCATTGAAGCAAATCACCTCCTGCTCAATAAGATATATGAAGGGGAGAGTCAAGGGAGGGGTGTGTGAAATAAAGGCCAGATTAGATCTTCCCCAGCCAAATTAACTTTAATTTGGTAGCAACAATCACAGAAACTCAGGAAATGAAGCAAAAAATTAAAGAAATAGGCCTTTGACAATGAAGGGTTCATTGGTTATTGTGGTCTTTTCAACGGCAGATGACTTGTTAAAATATATTATTCAAATACATTGTACTCTGCAATACATTTCATTAGATGCTCTGGTTGTTATGTCACTGCAAAAAGATGATTGCTTTAGGAAAAGTGGAAAAACTCAACTTTGAGGCTACAACTCAGAGGGGCTGAGCTAGAAGTTAGACGTTCCCAACCCCTTATTTTCTTCACAGAAGTAATATAGGTATTTGTAGGAATATTCAGTGGCTATGACAATCAAACATCAGCCAATCAAACATCACCACTTCTTCCTTGCAAACATACCACCTGATCAGTGTTTTGTCATGGCTGGTATTTAAAATCAGAAATGAACTAATCGGGGAGAAAACAGCCCAGGGAGGGGTGGAGGTGTTTATGCAAGGGAACAATAGAGATGCCTTATGTACCTTTTCCTCCTGCTGACCAATCCTCCTTGTAAGTATCTGCTTTCATAATCCTATTATCTTAGATGTGGGGTTGGGACCATC